GATTTCTGTTGGTTGGGTTAGAGGGTAGTGGCATCTTCTGCTGCAGCCAACAGTGAATTCTTTTTCTGCCCCTAAATCTAGAGGGAGATGACATATACAATTAAAAAGAGAGCAGGTTTGTAGTAGGAGCGAGGATAGTCTGAGTTCACTTTAGCTTATAGACACTAAACTTCTTGAGGTTTTGCCTATAGCCTAACCCAGGAGATGAGTTCTCCTAGAGGATTAATCTGAGCTACTGGGGGGAGCAAGTTTTTATCCAAAAAACCTCAGGGTGGGTTAGACTCCCTGGACTACAGTGAGTCCCCTTAGCCATTCCTTCTCTCTCCTTCCAGGGTTCAACCCTTTTCCTGAGTAATTTACAATCTCCAGCTCAAAAGCTGCTCCTGATGACATCAGCCTAAATGAAAGGCTTTGATGCCAGCAGAGCCTGAACATAAGCGGGCGTCCCCTGGGGCATGGCCCGTGGCAGGGCAATGAGAGGTGCCAGCAGACCATGAGGAGTAAAGAGAGGTGGACCAAGGGCACCTGACAAAACCCTGGGTAGACGGGGGAAACAGAGAGCAGATCAGCTGATGGCATGCGGTGGTAGCTTGCATTCCGGGGGAACACTTTTCCCACGAGAGGGCAGGAAGAGTCCCCAAATTCGGGCCCAGAGACTTAAGCCGTGGCGCCTGAGGCTGAGGATGCCCCAACTGGAACCACAGACCCCTTTGAAAATTAGTCAAGATTTTGCTTGTCGTCTTCTCCCATGAAGTGTAGCATTTCGTCTGGAATAAGTGCATTTGAATAACCGAGATGTGGTTTGCAGGTGCCTGAGGCAGGGAGGGTGTAATAGCATGACCAGAAGCATCCTCTCTGTGACAGTAAAGACTGGTTTATGAGAGCAAACATTTTAAAGTTCAGCTCTGTGGGTTTTTCCCAAATAGTCAGGCTATTATTATTGTTCTTTATATTCATATATTGTCTAGTAGCCCATGGTACTGCACTAAGTACTGCACAAACTCAGCAATGGCTCCGTTAATTCTCATGCAAAGTAAATCTCCCTTTGGGCCTGGTTCGATAGACACAAAATTGTCTGACTGGTTTAGTCAACAGGAAAAAATTCCGTTTAATTGCTGGGAGACTGCTCCCTGAGTAGGGTTACCTGCGTGATTGCGTCGGTGATTAAGAATTCAGTTTCTATTCTGCAGAGTGGAACCAAAAACAGCTATTTTTTTCCCCCCTCTGTGGTACTTGGACAAACATGAGAGAAAAACTTACATGTTCAGTGGAGGTTGTCTTCTTGTATAACAGACGAAATGGAAACACAGGGGCTATTTTTATCCTCAGCCTAGCTTTTTGGATTTTGAATACTCAGGCTGTGTGCCCATAAGCCCCTTTCTCTACACCGACTCTACTGGAGGCGAGAAGACCTCGCTGTGATAACAAAAAAGAGAGTCACGGGCACAACGTCTGAGTCGGAGAGAGAGGAGCCTCTTTGCACCCCCGGCCCAAGACGAATTGTTAGGGCGGCTGCTGAGCCTGCGCTTGGGGTGAATGAGTCTATTTCAGAGTAAAAGCAGTGCCCTGAGGTGCGCTTTCCTCATCTGCTGGGGAAGGTGTGAGGCTGCATCACGAGCCAGTCTCTCCCGGTGCAAGTGAGAGGGTCAGCTCATTGCATCAATGTTTTTATCAGGCCAGCTTTTACACTGAAATAAAATCTCTCCTTGCAGCACTGGAGCCAACATGTTGGCACCCGAGGATGCTGTAGCTGAGAGCAGGGACTTTGGGGAGCTTGGTTTCTGCTCGCAGCTGGAGCAGACCCACCGCGACGCAGGAAGCGGGTGGAAGAGGCAGCCAAGGAGAGATGAGGGAGCTGGGGACCACAAGAGAAGGACTCTGTCTTCTCTGCAGTGCGCTGGCAGGCCCCATCTGAAGGTTACACAGCACAGGCAAAATGAGCTTTGTTTCTCTCCACTGAGGTCAGTGCCACTGTCAGCTCCCCGGCGTGACGGGTTAGTGAGCCTCAGGGACGTGACATCCCAGATCCCTCTGCTTTTCACCTGCCCCCCTATGTCTGAACTCACACCTGTGCTTGCAGCAGGGGCTTCTCCCTTGCTTTGCATCCAGGCTTGTACGTTCATAGTCTGTTCACGCCATCCCTACTCCTCCAGCCGCATTGGTGTCTGCTCCATTGCTGTTGCTCACTTGCCCCTGTGCTCAGTTCTGCTCCAGTCTTTGTTTTGTGGACCGTCTGCTCTCCCAGCTCCTCTGCCCGCTGAAGCATTTTCCTCTGCTAACATTGCTAACCTCAGTGTCTCCTGAGCTTTCTTCTCTCTTCCTTATCTTCACCCCTCACGGACTCTTGGACCCATGTCTGCTGAGCGCTGGCATGTCCTCACTCGTAGCTTCCTTGAGCACCTGGTACAAAAGAAGGAGAGGTAAAACAACAAAAGCTGTCTCCTTCAGATAATATTAAAGGTCTAGCTCCCTCCCATCTTCCTGCTTGATCTCCTTTTTGTCTATCTGACTTCTAGACAGCAAGATTGTTAGGTAAAGGCCTGACCTTGGTAAGAGAAGAAAGGAACACACAGAAGAATACGTGGTTTTGTGATTAAGGCATCATTTTGGTCATTTAATTTTTCTGAGCCTCCATCCTCATGAATAAAACAGACACAGAAGGCAGGGGAAGGGTAGTTTTGTTTGTGTGTAGGTTGCTCATGTGTGTTAATAATATGGCCTTGTAAGAACCAAGTTGTGCAATGCCTTTTACGCGTGTTTCCCATGTGTTTCAAGGATGTGCACTGCCATCTCAGCACTAAGCGACGGGGTCGGTCCAGTGTGGCTATGCCCATGCTACTCTGCAAACAAGCCAGGGTCTGTTTTCTGTCTCTGGGGCCAGTGCAGGGCATGGCTTGCACCCAAACAGCTGAAGCCTCCTGCATCCCTCAACTACCCCTCGCTTGACTGGGTGTCCTTGTCCAAATGTGCTCTGGGAACTGGTCCCTAGGACAAGCACAAGCATTGCTGAGGGCATGGCATGGGATAAGGCTCTGCTAAGGCACCTGCTCCTGGTTAAACAGGGACCAGCCGGTTCTGGGCTGTTCTTCCAGCCCAAGTCCTGAGCATGCTTTACCCTCCAGCTTGGATGTCCCTTCTGGTTGTAGTTTTGGTCTTTATTATTCCACTTTTTCTTTTCCTTTATGAGCTATTGTGTTTTAATTAACTATTAATTCATTGGGCTAACATGTGGCTATTTTGGGGCAGGGGGGGCAGGGAGAGGGAAGAAGGAATTACTTGCTTCAGGGTTTTATCTTGGTTGTATCTGTCTCCATTTATTCTCCTATTCTTTTAGGCAGACTGGAGGTAATGGCTCTTAGCATGCTTTATAAATCATTCTGCAGAGGACTTTGGGTGAGCGTTTTATTTAATAAGTATGGAGAAGTGGGCTTTTATCCCTGCAAAAGAGGTGGCAAGTTCACTGTAATTTGCACTGGATTACTGTATTTGGGGTAGAAGAAGTAATAGAAGACTCAAAGATACTGGTCTTGCAGCAAGTTCCAATTGTATTACCTCCTATTTGTCTTGCCACTTCATCCATAGGAACATCGAAGTTATTTACGTTGAAACACAGCCCTTTGATTTAATAGCACATGGGCAGAAGTACTTGGAAGGAATTTAAAAGCTCACTTTGAAGAGTTGTGCCAGTCTGAAAACACTAAACATTAATGCTCTTGAGCTTTGGGAAAAGGTGGATCTCCATCCACATCCAAGTGCTGCAGCTCACCTCCATTACCAGACTGCGTCAAAGCAAATCCTGAGAGCTGAGATTTCTTGCAGCAGGGAGGAAACAGGGTTCAGCTACAGGGATTTCAAAGAGAAATCTTTATTCAGGGTGCTGGAAACTGGTGTCCTGGCTCCGTGTCTTCTGGCTACCTGGGATACCTACCTCTGTTACACAGGCTTTGAGAGCAGGCTGGGTCCTCATGTTGGCTGCCAAGTCTGACTATTTCGGTCAGACTTTGCATCACCAAATGTGGCTTCCTTACAAAATGGTGAAGCCACTGCAGAAAGAGAAAGCATAATGCTGGCCAACAGCAATTGAAAATCATCTTGAAATGAAACACTTATGGTCATCACGTGGATTTTAAATGATTTGCTATGTGGGGATCACACTGAACCTGCTTCATTTGAAAAATAATAGAAAAAGTGCTGTATGTTTCATGAAACTCTTCACTACGGTGTACAAGCTCTCGGGTCTCAGCCACAGCTAGTCTAAGGACCAGCTAGGCTTTAGCTCTGCTTGCACCCAGATTAACGATGCGAAATAACCAGCTTCTTAGGTCACAGGAAGTGGTTTCTTTCCAACCACAGAAGGAGAGCACAATAAAGTCAGAAGACATTTTGGCTTTAGCAAATGCGTAGCTGGGCCCAGCAGCCCTGTGCGTGCCAAGCACCACTGGGCTGCAGAGGAAAGCGTGAAGAAATGATGCCGTGGATGCTTTGCAGTTGTCAGCACATACAGCTGCTTCATGACGTCTCTTCTGCAGGCAGTCACAACCGTTTGTTTCTCAGTGTCAGTAGTTCTTCGCGTAGCTTTTGTGGAGAGGTATAGAAGTCCCATCAGGTAGAGACGTGTGCCTTTTTTCTTGTGAGAAATAACGAGAGAGGAGGTGGCCAAGCAGGCAGCTTTAACAGTGGGTGTTTTCCCCCCCGGGCTCCTTGATTTTCATCCTTGAAAGGATATAAAATAATTTTTTTCAGGAGCAACATCCAGTGCTATAAATGCCAGGCTGTTCTGTGTGCTACTCTGGCATCAGCATCCTCTCGGTGATAACTTACAGGTTTTGAATAAAGACAGAAATTCACAGATATTTTTTCCCCTTGAACACTCCTCTGCCATGGAGCGTCTTAAGAAATTAAATGCCCAACGACGCCTGAAATAATTCCATGGCATGGGGTCCTTCATCACACTTCACAGATAACTGTGTTCGCTTTTTTTGTTTGTTTGAAGGGTGCGTGCTTGTGGTGTCTGTAATTGAACAGCTTGCAGAGTGGCACAACAGTACAGTAAAGGCAGCCGTGGAGAGACTGTGCAACTACATACCTGGTAAGTACCAAATAATTTGCCATATGTTACATTGGTACTGCTGTATTTCTCTGTTAATTAAAAATTCACACGTGGAGTCCGGAAAGGCTTTATCCACTTCTCGTGCAGCATCTCAAATAAATGCAGCTGAACGATAGCAAGGTGCTGTCTGCAGGGAAGTCAGTGGTGTGGCTCACTTGGCTTCAGAGCTAGGATTTTGTCCCAAAGTTAGAGCAAATGGGGTTGTATTAAGCCCACATGCATGTGAGCACTAACGCACCCAGACCCCTTCCCTACCTTTTTCTCCACTTTGTCTCTTTGTTAGCATCTTAGGAATAGATTCGCTCTATGCCCAGCCACTCTTTTTTCTTGTTGGTTTGTGTTCTTATAGCAGCTGTGAGGGTGAAAATTTTTTCAGCAGGTAGAGGAAGCCACTATTGTAAAATCTCCAAAATGAGCGGAGGTTGACAGGTCTGAGATGTGAGCGTTTGGTCTACGCAGACAAGCTACTGAAAAGTAACTGATCATACAAATTTCAAAAGCTATAGCTATTCCGTATGAATGTATGTAGACTTCTCTTTTTTCTGCCCCTTATTTTATCTGCCCAAGGGAGCTTAGCTGTCCAAATGCACATCTCTAAATAGAGAACTGTTTGAATGCCAGAATAGCTTTGTGCCTCACAGACCAATCCTACAACTGTTTAAGTAACTAGATCTCACATTCATGGCATCTTTTTAATCTTATAAATGTAAAAAGATGGCTTATAATCATAAGTCATCTTCATTGAAAAGTCATTTATATCGGACTCCATGAATTGTATCTCTGAGAAACCATCGTGCTCTGTAGACCCTAGTTTCCCAGAAGATGTGTGTAGAATGTTAATTCCATCCTTTCCCAGACAGTATTTCCCGATGCAGGATGGGGCAGAGAGGTAATTGCTGGGATTCATTCACTGATAGAATGACGCTTATCTGATTTCTGTTCCACAAGTCGTATCCTCAGTGTTTTAAATTACAAGCACGTAACCATGAAATTACAATTAGAAGCACTGATCCTGCTATTAAAATACAATTTTCTTCTTTAAAATATGACATGCTACCTCTGTGTTCATGATTCACTCAGTGGACCTTGTTCCTGTGACATGTCAAGATATTTCTTTTCAGCTGCCATTCTTTACACACATAAAATCCTATTATCCCTTTAGTTAAATCTGTGTAATCCGGTTACCTTCTATGAGATGCATGGATACACCCAACAGAAAAAAAACCTGACCCTGAACTTGAAAGGAGTGAAAAACCCTGTGGGTTAAATGGGATCTGCTGCGTAACCTGGTTTATCCTCTCCCAGGAGGTGAATGCTGCAGCCCAGCACCAGTCAACAGCTTCCTCTTGCTGCTTGAAACAACAGAAAAGTTTTGGCTGTGCCATTTCACCTGAAGGAACAATTTCATTGTTACGCACATGCCTATGACTGATTGCAAGAATAACAGCAACAAATTAATGGCACCAGGGCTTTTCCTAGGGCCAAAGAAGGAATAAGAACTCTTGTGTTTTTTCCGAGTGCCTCCTATAATTTCAATTACAGTCAAGTTGGGATTGGATCAAGCCCTCAGTGAAGTTATACGATGATCAAGAACAAAAACTGTTTAGAGGAAAAGAGAGAAAAATTCAGTACGTGTCAATCCCACTCAACCCCACAGGCTGTGTAGAAAACACAATCGCATCCTTATTTATATGGAAATGTTTGCAAAGTGTGTGATTCAGACAACACGGCCAATAAACCTATGAAAATGAGAACAGTAATGCTATGAGTGAAGGAGGCTCTTGAGCAGACAGAAGGGCCAGGTCTGGAGGAATGGGCAGTGTTTACGGTGTAAGAGATGTTGTTATCAAGAATGTGTGTTTACCTGGATACTGGCTGTCTGCCTGATGAAACAACAGTGTCTGATACCCGAAATGTGCTTTGAGACCGTCTGCCTCCGACGTTGCCTCTGAGTCATGCTCTGCTTCCGTGTCGACCACTGCTGTGTAAACACCTTAGAGATCAAGTGGAAATGGCAAAGTGATTAATACCATCTTTCTTGCAAATATTTATCCTCTGGGATTCAGCCAGAATTTGTGTTTCTAGGACTACAAAGCTATAAAGGAAAACCTTCTGGATTTTTATCATGTAAGAACCAGGCAGTTTAGGGGATCTCTTTTACCTGAAGCAGGGCAAAAGCAAGTATACTCTAAATTTTCTCTAAATTTTCCAGCATGTAGTTCGTTTTAAGCTCTTCTCTTGCCCCTGAACACACAAAGTAATTCATAATTTTCTCTTTCTTTCTGTTCCCCTCCTTTCTCACTTATGCAGCTTCTTCCTAACAGAGCTTTCTCTCTGCAATATCCTCTCCTTGTGTGTGTTAGCAGAGCCTGAATGCAGGCTGGCTCGGAGGGCAAGTCCTGTAAACACTGCCCATGGCTTGGGTCTGGTTTGCTGGAAGCCAGAGCCGGCATTTGTATATTCCAAGAACACTGTACGTGCGCAACAATAATTTTATGCTGTTGCTGTTCTTTTTACCACCCATCATTTGTTACACCGTGGGGTAATTACATGTCAAGCTTCCTATGTGCATAAGGAAATCAGCGCCTAGAAATTACTGTGACCAGCAGACCCCCCCCATCATCTCCCCAGACCTGACAGCCAGCCAAATCCTCCCCTCTTCGCAGCCACCAGGACAGGTGACAACAGCCAGCTGGCTCTTCCAGGGCCAGAAACGTTATGGAAACCAGCTGGTTTGGGAAACCCAGAAGGAGACCATTGCCTGCGATGCACTGGGGAGGTGCTGGGCAAGCCAGCCACCTTCTTCTGCGGGCTACTCTGCGGAGCCAGGTGCCCCGCGGGCAGGCCTCATCAGAGGGTATTTTAATCAGCGATGATACCAAACGCAGGTTTACTGATGCCTGTGATGTCTTTCCTTTTAGATGAACAAGAATGAAATCTAATTCTAGCCAGGAGACCAATTTTTAACTTGCATATTGCTTCTAAAGAGCCAATAGAGAGGAGTTATGTGACAGAGGAGGCAAAGAAACGAAGCTAATAACTTGATTGAAATAAAGCACCTGGCATGGGAGAAGAAAAATCAGCTATCATAGTTACAAAAGCTGCCTGCAACACTGTATGAGTAGGAGGGTGCTGAGGAAATTATCTTTTTATTTCCTGCTAGGTCTTTCTGGTCCCATCCTCCTCCCTTGGGCGCAGGTTGGGGTGTCTGCTGTCCTGGCAGGAGAACAGCTGCAGGAGGGAGAGCACGCCTGTGCCTGCTGATGGGGTCAGTGACACGAGGTTTTGTACCCACCCCGGAGCAAAACTGCCCACCTTGTAGGCAGCAGAGCTCCGGCCCTGCACATGTCCAGCCTGACAATAGTTAAAATTGAATATTCAGCCCAAAGTTGGAGGGAAGTGGCTGCTTTGAGAGTTTCTAAGGCTTTTCTTTGGGAAAGATGGGGATACTCTATGTTTTCTTCCCCAAGCACAGATAGTTATCTGTCTGGGTAATGGAGGTGCAAGAGAAAACGACATCTATCAGGAATTTCAGGAGCTTCAAGTTTGCTGTCACTGCACTAGTATGAACCTGCCTCTTCGTGACTCTTCACAACACCCCCTGCCAATACAAGTCCTGACACTTCCTTTGCAGGCTGTGTGTGTGGTGAACAAGCTCTTGTCTTTTCAGGCCAAGAAACAGTCAATTTTCCTTTGTGGGAACCCTCAGACCAGTGCTACCATCATACCCTACCTGTATTCAGACCCCCAGTCTTTCCCACAAGTGTCTTCGCTCGGGCCTGGGGACCACTGTTTTTTACAACAGTACCTTAAAGAAATCTCTGATGAGCTGTCTTCTGGAAGGCATGGAGGGCGTGCTTCGCCCAGATGAAAGGAGGCCACCTGAGGCAGCACCCTGAAAAGGCACACGGCTGCACATGATGAAAGGAAGACAAACGAAAAGTGTCAAATGTTTGTTTAAATGCAATTATTCCTGCACAACTCCTGCTCTACACAAGACAAATTCCCTTAACTCGCACAAACTCCAAGAAGTTCCAAGGCAGCTCTAGCAGTAGCATCAAGCCTTACATCACTTTCTGCATTTTGATTTATATATTTGTTTTCTTTCTTCTTGCAAAGCTACTGAGCTGTTTGTTTAAACTGCCTAGAAGATGCTGCAGCATGTATGATTTCTTTCGAATTTTTCGTGATGCCATACTGAGAATATTTAGCAAATGCTAGTTATCCTTTTCAGTCCTTATGAAGTGGCTTGCCTAAATCCAGAGAAGGGCTTTAGGCAGGGTTAGAAATTCAGGTTTTCCCATTCTCTGGTGCCATATTCAGGTCATAGATTCACATGCCTTCCTCTAAGATAAATCAGCGTTCACCTTCATGAACCAACTCCTGATGTATTTTGACTGTTATAAAATCAGTTTCACTGTGCTCAATTACTTAAAAAAGTTTATGTTTTCTAGAAAAATTGCAAGGTTTCTGTTATGTACTTGCAGAACTTTACGGACCACACATAGCTGAACTGTAAGTATTGCTGTGTCCTCTCAGGTCGTTGCTTAGTTTGTTTCTCACATGTACAGATGTGCTGTCGGATCAAAGTGCAGGGGTTTCATTCTTAAAATCACATTATTAGTAAAGAAGAGGTGCTTGAGAGTGATTCTGGTTTGGCATTTGACATAACTATTTCTGAGTGAATAAACACAGGCTGCCACTGGTAACCATGTTCATACTCCATTTGAATCTCAGATCAGCCCCACCTGGTGTAATTATCTTTTGAAATTCAGCTCATCTGGCTGAGGGAGGAATTTGAATAACCCGTTGTGTGCGAGACAGGTTCTACAGAGTCATACTACTGTAATACCTGGCTCTTGCTTTCCCTTCTACCTTTAATCAAACTTTCTAATTGTCAGCCCCTACATGCTCTCAGCGCCAGCCTTGATACACATGCTTGGGGAAGCCTGCTAAGTAATGTAAGTGATTAAAAAGATACAATGTAGGTCATTTGATTTCTCTTTGGAAGTTCTTAGTTTAATTAACAGAGCTTTTGCTAGAATTTCTTCCTCCTTAGGGTTTTATTTTTATTTTTAAAACTAGCCAAGGGACTGCAAAGTGCTTACAGGACTAAGAATTGCTATAATCAAACATTTTAATTTAATTCCTGATTAGCCCAGAGGTATGTCCCAAAAAGAAAGAAGCAGTCCTAGCACTTGTGCTTGGTGATTAAAGGTTAAGGATCTTTAAAGGATTTCTGGTTATTTTCTTGAGTTAATGATTGAACATTCATATGTGCCAAATTGCATATGCATTAACTTTAACCTTTAAATCTTCGTCAGACTTATGATTGATTAAAGAACAGAACAGTCATAATGTATTTGATTCAGGTGCTGCATATAAAACACGGTGCTTTTTCGTCATCCTGGGTTCCACTTTTAAATGCTGAGTAGGATGCTGTGGTGGGAATTCATTAGGACCCAATACCGTACGAAGCAGCGATTACAGGCCACAGTGAAGCGAGCTGAGGTTATTGTTTGGCATTAAGGGATTTAGCTTCCCATGGAAATGGCTTTCAAGCACCCAGGAGAACATAATAGTCTTTGTTTATGCACCATTTCCTTCAGCATAGACAGAGAAATGAATGCCGATGTGGTCTGCCATTCTTTGAAGCTGTGTAAACAGAATCCAGGACAGCCGCTTTGTCATCTCTATGCTCCTCCAAAGGTGAGTCGGTTTTCCACTTTTTTCAAAGCTTCTGATATTGGAAGGTCTTTTAAGCTGGAACTGAAGAGTACAGAGGCTTCCAGCGCACATGCATTGTCTGCGAAATAAACTTGAGCATTCTGAGTGTGGACACTTGTAGAAAATGTCTGTTTGAATGGAAGGTCCATAACATGCAGTAGCTGTGTGGAGTATCAACAACAGGGTTGTCGGAGAGTGGGAATTACAAGGCCAAATTCTCTTGTACTGGTCTGAGTCAGAGAAGAAGAGTGGGGAAAACAAAATCTCACTTTCTCCAGACTTTATTGTTAAGCAGTACGATAACCCCAAACGAGATACTCGGCTGAGGTTCATCTGTACCACTGCGTTACCACGGCAGGACGACTTACCTCCGCATTGCCAGATCTGCTGTGGCAGCCTGCACAGGAGCTAGCTACCCGCTGCAAATGCAGGGCTGTTGGACTTGGATTAGTCTGCAGTGCAAGAAAGTTTAAGCTAATGTGCATAATCTTTTGCTGCAGGATGGAAACATATTTACTTACCACCACTTTTGTGATGTACAGTTACTTGCTATGCCACCGTAACTTGGCCGCGTGTTCTAGACCTTTGCTACTCAGACACATGCATATCTGCAGAGGTATCTAGACAGCTACAGTTTGTTTGGGGATTTTTTTGGTTGTGGGGCTTGGGTTTTTTTCCAGTCATCATGCAGTCCTGGTCACACTAAAACCTGTGAGTGATGGTTGTTTGGCAGTGTCAAAAAGCAAGTGATTCATTTAGGCATCTGTTTTTGGAAATCTTTTTCCCTGAATCTGAGTGGATAAAGACATGTTTGATTTCCAAAGGCTTGCATAAAATGTTTTACACAGGGCCTGATCCAACAGCCATTGAAATGAGTCAGAGCCTTTTCATGGGCTTCAGTGAGCTGTGGTTCATCTCCAAGATGGATTTAGTTCTACCAATATTAAGACCTGGAGAAACATTTGCCTTCCAAGAATGGTAGTAGCATTTGTTTTATAACAGGTGTATGTCCCATATGACTATTACGCTCCATGCTATGCCAACATAGAGATAGATGGGTGTGCAGCCAGGCAGGAGTGAAAGAAGATGAGTGCAGGCAGCAGAGAGGGCCCACACTGACTTGACTCAACCAGAATGTTGCTCAAACTTCATCAAACCGGTTTCTTCAGAAATTCTGCGTCTGAACTGGTAATGCAGTTCATGGGTCCTTCCACCCTTCCCCAAAGTACATCAGAGCTACTCTATTGCAAACTCTCTTTTAATAATTACCAGGTCTTTACTCACCCCACACACATTTGTGAGTCTCCAGCACTTTCTGCCCTGATAATTGCATGGTTTTTCGCTCCCCTGTACTTGTAACAGCAGCAGAGACCCTGCCAGTGACTGTGGAACCTTTTTGTTTTTTAAAAAATTAGGAGTCCTGAAGGTAAAGGTGAGAGTATGGCAAAGGCTGGCAGGCTCCCCAAGCCCCCAGTGTAGGAGGTCACCCAGGAGGACAGCAGGGGCTCTAGCAACGGTGGCTACATGTGCACCACGCTGCCAGCCTGAGAGTTAGATTTTCATGCGGACTTGCTTGTGTGAGGGAATAAACGTAGAAACCAGCCCACACGCTGACTTCTGCTGGTGGCAGAAGTGCAAGGTGTGTCTTGGAGTGAGAGAGGATGCAGGCAACGAACTGCACTTAAAGAGAGGGATGGACTCTCTGTGGCTGCACAGTGAGCAAAACTAACGAGTCTGGAGAGAGGGGCTGCTTAAACTGAGGTGGCTCCTGTGCAGGAATTAGAAGATCTGTGCAGAAATGCTTGGCCTGTCAACCAGAGGGGACAGGCTGCCACTCATAGGGTTGCTGTCAAATCCTTGGTTAGCTCTTCCCATCTCTCAGAGCAGGTGTGGGACTAAGCTGTTGACTCCTTCCACCTCCAGCGACAGCTCCAGTGACTGTACTTTCCGCAAGGAAAACAACTGATGATGGCTTTTTTTTGGTTTTGTTTTTTAAACAAAATTTGGACTCTCATTTGCATGGCCTGGTGACTGTCCCTCTGAGTGAGTGGCTCAAGCAAACCTTCCAAGCGGTAGTTAGATTCTTTTCTGTCAAGGTGTATTTGTTTCTCACCAGGAATAATGGAACTCTGCCAACAAGACGACTTTTCTACCCCAACTGTGCCCTCCTTTTTAGCTCTCCCGGTGCCCTGAGACAGCATGAGGAGGCTGGGGGAGATGGGAGGAGAAGAGCACTGCTTAGAGTTCATGCTCAAGTGGTTGATAAATTGCCCACAATAACTCTGTGACAAGTCAGACTGAGTAAAGACAAATTATGGGTAAAGAAATTAATATGCAGTCAGAGACACAGATGCATAAAATGCTGTTTACCTGACATTTGCTTCTTTGGTTTGTAATTTGATTGATCACTTCAGTTATACAAGCCTGCAAATGTTGGTTCAGTCCCCTGCCAAGTGTTTGAACAACTTTAATACTGTTGACTGTTTTGTTCACCTCTATTGATTTTCAGGTACTTTGTTTATTAATTTAGGCTTTTGGATGCCCATTTGCTCAGAATTAGTGTCATATTTGTACTGGCAAAGGGATAAAATAAATACAGAGTTACTTGCCCTTACAAGGCAGTATGGTGTTCATGTTTTAATTGACTTTAAGATGGCAAATATCAACATGTATCTATTTTTTCAGTCAATAGTTTATTTTGTTCTGTTTCTGTGATGTTGCTCTAGTGAGGCTGTGTGCCTGGGGGAAGGAAGAGCCCCTGTTTCAAGGCCTTGCGAACTATCTGCTTAATGGAGGCACTGCAAGCTGAGTAAATGATACATGCATTATACTACATACTTCCCTGGTCTCTGACAAATTAGCCCAAATTAATTTTTTTGCCAACCTGCCTGGAGCCAGTAGCACTCTATAATTATTCTAGGAGACTCAGCTCTAATTATGAATAAAAAAATATTGCTCCGTTCGTACAGAGAGCAATGCTGTCGACGTGGCGCTGGAGAAGGAGGGCATCTAACCTGGGCGAGGGTGGCTCCATTGCCCGGGGGCTTGGGCGAGGTGGGCTGCCGCGGTGGTGGGCAGCATCAGGAGCAGACCCCTGGTGTTGGTGGGGAAGGGTGGAAGGGGCACTCGCGGCCCCTGGACCACCGACAAGCAGATGTCACTCGTAATGGGGTCCTGTGAGCCCCTAATTGCCGCCGGTGGCCCGTAAAGCAGAGCCTGGGCTAGGGCTGGGATCACAGGTAGATGTGCATGCATAGGCCCTCCTGCTGCACGTCTCTTGCTCAACGAGAAGTTCTCCCCTACCCTCTAGTATGAAGATTGCAACACTGGGGGCTTCTTCAAGTCAGGAGGCAAAATAATACAGTGCCTCAGAAACGTAGGCTTACCATATGTAGCTGAAAACGGGGCAGTGTCTAAAGCTGCTGTAGTGTGCGTTGTGGTTTAAGCTACATCAGCAGCAGACACCCTGACTGGCTGCAGCACTGCTCCAAAATGCTGACAGTGGGCACAGGCGTCCAAGCTGGCCGATTTAGGATGACTGGATATTTTTTTAATCAAAAAAAGTTGATCAGCTCACAAGGTGGAGGACTTCCTGCACCAGGTCCTGTGATACAGGGACCTTCCTCTAGCGACCGAAAAGAGCTGAAATAGGGTGAGGGGTTTTAGACACTGGCTACCAAGCTCCCCTTCTGGCCCTGGGAGCAAGCAGGTTTGCAGGAGATTATTCTCAGCATGTCTCTAGACAGTTTTAAGCCAGCTGGCCTGTTCAGTTAAATGGCAATACTTTAATTGATTTTGTTGGGGCCAGAATAATGGCTCAACTTCAGCACTGGAGTCCTGCTGCTGGCAATCTTAAACGGTCTGTGTTGGAATGAGCTTGTGCTCTTCTTTCTGCCTCTCAGAGTCCCTCTTCTGCTCCCCATCACTTTTCTGCTCCAGATTATTAGAGACCTTATGGCTGCAGACTTTAGCTTAATCTCCAGTAGTAGGCTTTTGCTGGGAGTCATCTTACATCAGCAAAAATGTACATATTTATGCTAATGTCATTTTATCTTAAGAAAATAAGCTTTATTGCCACAAGCACTCATGCTGGTTCATGTCCCCTCTATCAGGTCTCTCACTGACTTTGTAAAAAGCAAAAGCCACATCCTTCATGGGCATTACTGCTGCCAGCCTGCTCTTTCATAAAGTAGGAGCCAACAAATTCCAGATGGAAAAAAACAACCCTTTGGGGTTTCATAAAATAAAAATACTCCCACTATTTTCTCTTGTTCCTCTCTCTTTTGAACTGCTTCGTGGGAGGTGAGGCAGAACCAAACGCCAGGGTGGGAGTGCTTCTGCATTCCCAGTAGAAGCTGGCTGCCAGCCAAAGGTAGACCCTTGCGGCTGGGACCCGTTTCCTTCTTTTGAGACCCCAGGCTGGAAAGCAAGCATCTGGGAGGCAGGCTAGGCCTTGGGGAGCAAGATACATTTGTTTTAGTCTTTCTTTTTGGAAGTAGGTAAAATCGACTGAACCATGAGTTGTTTCTGCAGCAGTCAGAACTGAGCCCTGAAGAAACAACTTACAAGTCTTATGAGGAACGCCTGAAGGAACTGGGGTTGTTTAGCCTGGAGAAGAGGAGGCTGAGGGGAGACCTTATCACTCTCTACAACTACCTGAAAGGAGGTTGTAGTGAGGTGGCTGTTGGTCTCTACTCCCAAGTAACCAGAAACAGGACGAGATGAAATGGCCTCAAGTTGCATCAGGGGAGGTTTAGATCGGGTATTAGGAAAAATTTCTTTACTGAAAGAGTGGTCAGGCATTGGAACAGGCTGCCCAGGGAAGTGGTGGAGTCCCCATCCCCGGAGGTGTTCAAAATGTGTAGATGTGGCGCTTCAGGACATGGTTTAGCAGGCTTGGTGGTGATGGGTTGACAGTTGAGCCTGATGATCTCAGAAGTCTTTTCCAACCTTAATGATTCTAAGATTCTGTGATTCTAGATGAGCGATAGAACAAGGCACAGTTTGAGCTCTAGTTCTTCCTCTTTCACTTGTTTCTTACAATTTTCCCTGCTCCTCTTCGTTGACAGAAAATAAAATGCAAAAAAGAACCAAAAACCCAACTGAAAAACCAAACAAGCCCAAAAAACTAAACCACACAACCCCAACCTTCCACCAAATAAACCCAGAGAAAACAGGGTGGTGTGGGGTCTGCAGGGTGCTGCATGCAGCTGTGTCGCACCGAGGCAGAAGCTGCCCCAGGCAGGACCCCTGAAGACAAGTCTCGGGCGACACAGGGGCACAGCGGCATTTGGGGTGGGAGGCTGGCAGACAAAATGTGAGGACGAGGAAGTGTTGCTCTCATGGATACAGGCTGTTATTTTGCAGAGGCAAGCGAGAAAAAAGAAACTGAAGTGTTTCATCCAGAACACGCAGAGTCCCAAGTCTGCAAGTGGAGTAAGATGAGCAGAAGTCAGAGTAATTGCCCTGGGAGGAGAAAGGACCAAGTCAGGACTTGCGTTTTTAGATCTGAGCTTGCAGGGAAGGTCCCTATTTTGCATCCAGAGCACATATTATTTGGTTTGGCTGGCCCATGCGATCGTAAAGATTCACCCTACAGTCTCTGCAAGAGGAAAGGTGGGAGCTGCGGAACAAATCCCAGTTTTGCCAGTGCTGTTTAACAAGCTCTGCAGGGTTTCAGTACCTTGGTATGTGTACTCCTGGTAAAAGGATGATGAAAATGAGTTAGAAGGGAAACTTGGAGTGTTTTGTAAATATTCGCTCTCCTGGGAAAGAGCTGGCTAACAAGGATGATAAATGAGAGAGAATTAGAGTTGGTTCGTGCGTTTGTTTATAATGAGAATTAGATCTGTTTGCAAAAAATTAATTACTGGGAATACGTGGGCACTGTGGAGACCATGGAAAGAAGGCAGTGAATGAAACCCGAGGTGACCCCCCTGTGCTCAGCCCCATCCGTGGTGTGGATATTGGAGTAGGCTGGGTGGCAGAGCTGCTCCTTTTCGGGCAGATGGGGCCGGCTGCTCCCCAGGACCTCTGCACACCCTCCGGGCAGCAGCTGCGGATTCATCCATCAGCTGCTGGAGCCCAGAAAGCCCCTTTCTCCATGGTGTTTTCAAGTCTCGCAACAGCGAAGAGGCTGCTGGGTAGCCGAGTTGGAGCAAGAGATGTTGCATGGGCTGTGTGGCCCTCGGTGGCCGGCTTGACGTGCTGGTGTCAGCCAGGGTTTACAGGTGACCCATGGAACTGGGAGTGTTTTCTGCCGGGCAGGTGCTTCAGGTGCCCGTCCTCTGCAGCCCACCCCGGAGTTCTGGCTGAAGTAACTTCTGCGGTGGGGGGGAAATCTCATCCTTGGCATTTCAGAGAGAGCATTTTGTACACATGGGGGCAATTCAGCCTTTCCTCCCTGGTTTTCTGCTTGCTGTGTGATGGATTTCTTTAGCCGTCTGAAGCGTCCTCTTCTCACGCTCTGCTGCTGAGAGAAAGAGAGGTTTCTCTTCCCCTGCCCAGCAGAAGGGGATTGATGAATCTTGCTTCTCTGGAAATTTTTCATGTTTTGTACTCAATTCTAAGCTGTTTTCCTCATCTGTCTCTCAAGTTATTTTATTGCAGAAATGACAGCAGCTGGTAACCTACAACATAACTATGGCAAATGCAAGATGCATGTTTGGTTTTGGGGACAGCAGTTACCCAGGGGGAAGAAACTAGGAAATGCTATCTTGGCTCCTTCCTAGCATCTCTCACCTATCTGTGGCATACCCGGAATTTTATAAGACTGTAGACAGACACAATGAATTAAACATATATTAAACACGTATATTAAAGTGACACATATATTAAAAAACAATAACTTAGAAGTCTGTGTTCCTTGCTGCTTAATCTTATTCTTCCTTATCCCTTTATATTGTTCACTATAAATTTTTGTCCCTTGAATATCACAGTTAATTAATTTGCTTTGATCACTGCCTAAATCAATTATAATGACATGCTGAATTTTATCCCCAGTAAAAAAATGTTGGTAATGGTTGCTTTAAATGCAAATCTATGCTGCTTTAATATTCCAAGCTGGCATGCCCGCTGTTTGGTAAGATGCCATCACTCGAGGGATATTTTCTTTTTTTCCAAGTGCTTTAATACTGCCACTTGCCAAAACATAGGGTTTTTTTCCATGTCGAGTTCCTGTAGCTCCAGCCAGCTAAATATAAACTTGCGCTGAACTTTACTTCAGAGGCCTCAGACCTGGTTTGTGGGAAGCCAGCAGTTAGGTCCTTAGGCTGGGCTGTAGGAGGGACTGGAGGCAGGTCATCGTCAGACAGAACAGTTTGTCCTTGCTAACGATTCTGAGCAGAAACAAAGTGCTAATGTGTTTGTGATGTATCGGGTTTTTCTTTCTGTTTGAAACATTTTAAAAAGTAATTAATTTTTGTCTCTTATTTACTTATTTATTTATTAACAATCCTCGGAGCCTACAGAACAAAAGCAGTTATTCCTTCCTACAGAGGGCAAATGGGCAGTATTTTCAGCCCTTTTTGTGGTGAATGCTGAGGGGAAGGACAGAGGCCATCACACAGATACTGCCTCACAGACATGACTGTTTGCAAAGGTGGCCTAATAAAAACAGAACACCACATGGGAATTATCACCACTGAGATGGAAAAATATTCTCCAAAAGTGAAAATGGAGCAGCAGGAGGGAGCACACTGGTGTTACCCTGCCGAAAGCAAATGGTCTTGCCTGAAGTTTGCAACCAAGCCTGCAAGCTGAGCTCGTCTCAGGGGCAGTCAGCAACTGGCTGTCTCATGAGCAGGGCACCCATAGCACAAACTTAAACCACCCTCCTGGACCCCTGTGACTAGCTTTTTCTTTTTTTTTTTTCATTGAAGTTGTGGGATCTTCTTTTCATATGGGGAGATGTAACTGAATTTAGAAACTGCCGTTCGTCAGCACGAAATTCCCTGCTTTGTACCTTCTCATGCGCAAGCTGTTCCCCTGCTGTGATGAACCTCAGCCGAGCATAATCCTTATCTGTGCAAGACCAAATGTTTCCTCTGTGCCCTTCCACAGCAAGTCAGACTGATAATTGCACGCGTCACCCTCATTTGGCCATCTAATGGATGAGTTCTTCGGCAGGAGTCACTGGAGAAGTCTGTCATGTGCAGCTTGCACAATGCAGTCAGGATATGAATCTCAGCTCTAAAATGGATCTGGACTTTTCCTTAGGAAATAAATGATGCCCTGGAGCAAAATAAATGAACTCTCGCAACTGGAGTTACATAGGGGGTGATTGGAGAATTGATTGTTAGTCCAATAAAAAGTAACTGGTGATGAGTTTGTGGACTCATACATCATTTTTGTGCTGTGACTGATATATTAAGAAAATATGTAGTAAATGGGGAGAAAAATTGGTAGGATACTGTGATCCTGATATCTTTTTTTTCGTCTTGTTTTTGCTCTCCTAGGTGGGACTGAGTACTGCAATAAGGAAAGCAAAAAGGATTGTGAAGACTTCCAAGGACCTGGTAAGAAATCAGTGGCATTCATGGCATTTTACATTGTGCTTGCATTTTATCAGGAGTCCTGATTTATTCTGCCTAACTGTGAACCCACATAATCATCAATGAATTGAATGCTGACTCACTCCTACCTGGTATAGGATCTGCTCTATCAGGTGAGATTGAAAAGGAGAGGGAGATAGCAGAGAGGAAATACGAAAGTAATGGGAAAGCAGAAAAAAAACCTCATGAAAAATGCAGTCTGCTTGTAGAGTAGGGATAACTGTCTATATCCATCAAAGACATAAACCTGTGTCTGAAATTCGTGCAGCAGCTGAGGATCTCATCTGTGAGCTCCATAGTTTTATCTTCACACTGAGATGCTTGCTTGTATTAGCCCAGTTCGCCTTTGGGGGCGGGGGGCAGCCAACCTTCGAAAAATATACAAGTGGATATAGATTTTGGTTATATTTTTTACAAAAGCAGGGATTTCCCCCACTCAGCCTTGCCCTGTGCTCTTCCTTCCAGAGAAACTTCTTTCCTTCCTTCCAACTTCTTGCAGCGTTTATTATTCCTCCTCTGCGCGTCATGCTTCTTCCTTGTCCCTTATCGTGCCTGTCTTGCCCTTGTAGCCATATGTAAGAGGGAGTGAACTCATGAACTAAGCCACTGCCTCAGAGCACAGTGACTGCACTTTGGGGTTGTCGGAAACTCGAGCAACGGTCTGAATGAAAATTCTTGCATGTTTTTCCTTTATTTTTGAGAGGCTGCTTTTGACTCTAAACTTGGAAACTGGAATTTGAAATCTTTCCGCCTCCACCAGTTTCAAGATTTACAGAGGATGTCGAAAGGGTAGCAGAGAAGCGAAGGGCAGCTTTTGTTTTGCTGGGTTCACTTCTATTACTCAGCTCAGCCACAGAGTTTGCTTCCAGTTGTCTTCAGGCACTTAGTGCAGAGCAAATGTTTTTGCTGTTTGTGAAGAAATTATTGATATTGCCTCTTCCTGAATCCTCACTGTGATGCTACTCACAGAAGTGAAAATTGAGGTGCCTAATTAGCCTTTGGGCAATTGCCAAATTGCCAAGCCAGGGAAATAAATAACATGCTGGAGAGGCAGGTCTCAGCTCCCACAGAACAGCAGCCAGCAGGATCTTCTTCATTTTCCTTCCTATTCAGCGCTGCGCTACCGATGGCCCGAGATTTCTGCTCGAATTACGTGAAATTTCTAACCCCCCTTCCCCCAGCGCAAGTCCTCACGTTGACACCTGCAGCGAGACGCTCTGAGTTGAGGAGGTGCTCTCCTTTAGCCAGAGCCCTGGCGCAGGCGTGGGGATGGAGAGGGATCGGCATGCAGCCGCTGCCTCCCGGGACGTGGGGCTCCTTCACTCCCTCGTGCGTGCATCCACCCTTGGCATATTGGGCCATGTCCCTTGCGTGGCCAGCCTCGTCTGGCCTCTGAGCTCTGTGCATGCCGTGTCCTTTCAGGCTGTCCTGGGCAGGGTGGCATGGTTGGCACCAATCTTTGGGTGCACTGAGGTCTCCTTTCAGCTTGCCTCTACTCTCCCATATCCTCAAGGCTGCTTGATGCCCTCATGCCTCTATACCTGCCTTGCTCTCTATTACAACGTCCTTGGCCTCTTCCTGCTCCTACTTGCCTATTTACCAGCAGGAGGGGCGAGCTAGAAGCAACAAGGCCCTGTTTATAATTGGGTTTCTCCAATCAATGTATTTCTAAACCCACAATACAAGATCAGCTCAAATTAAAACAAGTATCATGTGGTTGGTTAGGCCTCTCCAGCAGTTATTCCTAGCATGTTCCCTGTAGTGACCCTTGCTGAAACTTATCTTAAAGCTAGAAAATTAAAAAGAACAAAATTTCTAGAGGCATTACTGTCTCCCGCAACTTCCCCTTCAGGTGGATTCCAGTTAAATTCATTTCAAATCCAGAAAAACAATGTAGTAAGAAACACAAAGGAAGATCTCCAGGAGAGAGCACAGCATGCATCGTGCTTGCATAAGCCCCATACCCCAGAGCGGCAGCGTGTGATGTAACAGTAGGAAAATGACTTGCACAAACTAAACGCTGCCAAATCGTGGTCTGTTCACCTGCCCAGGCACATACACATGCCAATGAGCAAGGGCCAAAGCAGCCAAGGTGCTCTCACTGCTTGGGGAGAGGGTTGCCTGACTGAATGTGCGGCTGAGGATAGAGAAGTGTCCTGTTTGCGGTAGGACATCTCTGCATCCACACCAGTGGAGAGAGAAAAGCATTCACCTGGCCTCTTTTATACTCTGACTCATGCTGGACAGAAACATCAAATTATATCTGCTCGTTCTTCCCATATCTGCTATTTTGGTTGGGTTTACCCCATTGCATGTTTGGGGAAAGCTTTCCAAAGAGGTTCTTGCAAATTAGCTGTCCCCATCATTGCTTGGCAGCTGTGTGTGACTGTGCATAAAAAAGAGGTGTGATTATGGCTGTTGGTAATGAGAATGGGAGGTCTGTCTGGCTCCCAGGGGTTCATATTTACTGGGCATTTCGTAGGATCATTGTGGGTTTGGGAAAAAGAAAAGGTATTTTTTTCCAGATGCAGAGATACAGTGAAAGTGGCTACAACCCCAAAAAATCTAATAAATGTCTCCATTCATTACAAGTAGTGAGCCATCTGTGAGCGACTGACTTAAACCAAACACCAAGAAGCATTAGGGGCTCATTATTATTCTTTTTTGTAAAACCAATTAAAATAATTACGGAAATGTCGTTAGGGAATGTTAGCAGGCAATGAATAAAATATTGGTGTGATCAACCACGACGAGCATCTCTAGCGCTAAACTTTTCTTGTGGGTAGAGAAGATACTAAGAGGCATCTTTCAGCAACAGCAGTGAAACAATGACGAATAGGGTTGTGGCTGTAGCCTTTGATGAGAGCAAGCACCATGCATACAATCCTGTCGTGATTACATAGTGCCTTCAACTCAAAGCCCAGCAGTGGGAGAAGTGGGAAGCCACAGAGGGAGGCCATAGGAAAATGCAAGGCGGGGGGGCTATGAACCAGTCTCCTGCCCGCCCACTCATGTTATGCAGGGACAAGTAACCCGTCTCCTCCCCAAAACACATACTGCAATCATAGCTTGGCTTTGCTGGGAAGGGCCCTGTAACGCCTGCTCACCTGTGCTGTTGCTCTCTCTTGCTTACACATGCAAAAATTATCCCTTTTTTTAACCCTGTGCTCCTTGCTGCCTATTGAGAATAGCCCAAGACACCCTGAAAGAGCAGGTGAGCTGCTCTCCTGCACACCCCCAAGCAGAGCCGAAGCATTACGTCCAGACCTCACTGTCCCCCGTGCTGTGGGGACGTGTAGGTTGCGGAGCCAGAGGCTGCTGTGCTCTGGGACGCTGCTGCAGCTGATCCTCAAAGCCCAGCTCAACATCACCAACACCACTTCCAGGGCACCATCATGCCAACCATTCCCATCAAAGTCAGGCAGTCTCTGGGGCTGCAGGACAATCTTCCTTTGAAACTAATGGAGATCCAGTCGGCAATAATTTTCAAATGACTAGCTGAGAAAAAGGGAGGAAAGATACTATTCTACTTACGGCAAAGGATAGATTTTAAATGCAGCCTGTGAACAGATGAAAGGGGGCTTCATTTATTTATTTACTTATTGCAAGTGCTGTAGTTTGTCTTTCTGGCGCACTTTCGGCTCAGGATGCTTTAACTTCAAAGGCTTTGCATGCTGTGACTTAGGCTGAATTAAAAGCCGACAGCTCAAATGAAGACACTGCAAATCAGCCTGATGGAAAACTCTAAGAGCCTCTAATGCTTTTCTAGGCAGCACTGGGATTAGTCCTACTCGGGGGAAGTGGGGCAAGTGGTTTCTCTCCTTTTTCCAGAAGATGTACATAGCTTTGCAAAGCTCTTTGAGAAAAGCTGGTATGCTGCTTGCACACCTCCCTCGCTCTCTGCCTACCTGGCCATACATGTGAATGCACACACAGAGAGCGAAGAGATCTTCATCCCTGCTGTGCTTCAGGACGTAGCCCCGAGGCAGATGGGCTGGCAGGGAGGTTGAACACACGAGTGTGGAGGGAAGGGGAAGAGCACAGGGCAGCTGGAGCCGCAGCAGTGGGTCCAGGTTGGTCTTTCAGCTCAAGTAAAGGCTCCACTTCCTGGCTGCTTTTGGCCATTTCTATCCACTTTTTCTACAGTTGTGTTCTGGTTTCTCTTTGGACTCCACCAACATCCCCTCCACCTCATGATCCCCCTCCAAGCTGGTGCGACTCCAGCCTTCTCATTTGAGTGTGTTGGACAGAGCTGAAGACAGTCGATTGGTGGGGTTTTATTGCAGGTTTCTTGTCTCCTTGACTTTCCTCCTTTTTTTTTTCCTTTGATTTTTCTGTTGCATCCTTCAGAAAGTACACTGTTACAGCTCTGCCTCCACTGCAGGTCTCCCCCACAAGGTACCACTCTTTTTTATCTTCATCTTGCTGTTTGGTCACTTCAGCCACCAGTGCAAGTGTTGGCTACCATCTTTGTACTAGGGGCTCTATCCCCTCTTCTCTACCCCAGCCCTCCTCTCCACATTGAGATCCTGGCCGTGACATATTGCTGTGGCTGACCTCCTGCTCTGGGCAGTGTGACACCCTCATGTCCATCACACCTTGTTACCTGTCCAAGCAAACCCATTCCTGCCTTCCCTGGAGCTGCAGGGCAATGTCCTACGCACTGCAGCACCACTGCCTCGCTGCCCTGCAGGGCCACCTCAGAGCTCTCCTTTGTCACTCAGAGCTTTATATGCGGGGATTACTGCACCTCACAGTGATTAACAGCCTTTCACTGTCCTCTCCTCAGCTGTATCCAACATTTATCTTCTGTCTTATGTTAGGTTTGGGTTGTAATCTTATTAGGGCAAGGATCATCTTTTTTTTTTTTTATTGTGTGTATAATGTGTGTAACACAAGGGAGTTGGTCCAAGGATAGAGCTCTTAAGTGCTATGGCAATATAAACAATTTCGTGTCTTTGCATAAAGTTATGAGTATGTCCATCTGCTCATCTGCTTCATATTTACATGCTGAATGCAGCCTTAGTGAACACTGTACACCAACTAGCCCTCCATTTTTATAGACCACCTGAATGCCCTCGGTGTTTAAAGACCACCTGAACTTACAGTGAAGCCACGTTAGCAGCATGTTTTGAGGTTGATCGTCGACACACTGCAATTTTTCCACAACTTCAGCGTTAATTCACAAGGTCTCTTTCAGCTTCTGCCTGGGACCCCAACTGGACTGTTCCATGGTTCTGGTCTACCAATGCTAAAAGAGTTTATCCTGCAGCAGCTATGTTTTACGGCTTGCAGGTGTGGCCAGGATAAAGCCTGGTTATGAGATTTCCAGGTAAAAATCTCATTTAAAAATCAAGGGCATTCTATGCATATGCCGCACCCTCCTGTTTCTCCTCTCTTTGGGATTGTTCTTGACCTTCAGCTTATCCACCCCTCCCCGAGCATGCAGAAACCAACCTTATGGCCTACAGTGTGTTGCTTTCACTAGTTTTGCACTGTGTCAGATACCACCACATATACTGAACATGAGAACAGTAATTTTTACAAAGAGCAAAAAAAATAGCTTTGGTACATGAGAGGAGACAGTTTCACAGGAGCTCCTTACTTCCTTTTTATTTTACAGCTCTTTGAAAGCAAGAGTAGTTGGTTTATAAATGTTCAGGTGAAATCCTTAAGTTGACTGCTGTGTCAGGTCTAAATCCTCTGGCATGTAGCATCCTTAATGGAGTCACTGGAGTTTTCAGATGGTTTTAGGCAGAAAATACATTATTTAGCTCTGGACTTTACTGACACTGAATATCCCAAGCCACACCGCCTCTATGAACTAATGCATCCATCTTCTTTTATTTTCTTCCCCTGCAGAAGAGCTTCACGGGGTTCTCAAGTGTATGTTCATTTCCTCTTCTGGCTAACCTGTGTGAGAAGATGAAGTAGTACGTATAAACTTTTCAGTCCTTAACCAGAAACAGAATATGGTACATTACAAAGGAGAAGAATCATCCTCAGCTTAACAATGCTTCCCATACTTTACTTCTGTTGGTTTCCTTCATAAAACCACTGTCCAGGTACCATAGAGAGAGGTTGCACAGAGTTCAGGTAAGTAAGAGTCCTCTGAGGGATTGCTTTATTTTTTCAATACTTAAAATATTTTGTGTAATTTTATTGGGTCCCAGCGGTCAAATATACAACACACTCAAAGATATGACTCCTCCAAGAGGGAGCCAATTTTCTCCTGAGATTTCCTGAGCCCACGAGACTTCTCCATTTCATTTGTTCGTTCAGTTGTGGTGCCAGTGGCTCAGTGCAGGAAGGCTACCAGCATCTAGTATGGGTGGACAGTGAGGTGAATTGAGAATTGGCTGAATGGCAGAAGTCAGGGGGTTGTCATCAGTGACACAGAGTCTAGTTGGAGGCCTGTAACTAGTGGTGTCCCCCAGGGGTCAGTACTGGGCCCAGCCTTGTTCAACTTCTTCATCAGTGACCTAGATGAAGAGTTAGAGTGTACCCTCAGCAAGTTTGCTGATGACACCAAACTGGGAGGAGTGGTGGATAAGCTGGAAGGTTGTGCTGCCATGCAGCGAGACCTGGACAGGCTGGAGAGTTGGCCGCAGAGGAACCTGATGAAGTTCAGCAAGGGCAAGTGTAGGGTCCTGCACCTGGGGAGGAACAACCCCATGCACCAGTACAGGCTCGGGGCGGACCTGCTGGAGAGCAGCTCTGCGGAGAGGGATCTGGGAGTGCTGGTGGATGACAAGTTGACCATGAACC